ATGAGCGGACACTGGACTATTTAAGAAACACAGAAACATCAACAATAAACTAGTTTCGTATTTGGTGCATACCGCTGATTTTAAAGACCACAGACTCATTTGTACATATTTAGTCTCTTTTATACACGGAATCGAAATATTGAATAACTATTGTTTTTAACTGACTGGCCTCATGCCGACGTGGAAACATGAAAACGTTTTCACATGTATGAAAGGCTAGTCGGTCCAGAACAATAGTTATTCAATTTCGGTTGCCATTTTCGATTTGGTTTATAAGTCAGCTATTCAAAGATACCATTAAAAGTCCGTGGGATTCCGAAACTTTGTTATTATTCAATTTGCACTTYCTTTACAATACAGTTACCTTTTGCAAAGAATTTGTTATTAAACGAGGCTGAACCTGTGCAAATCAGGTCTTTAGTCATAAAACGGTATTTACTGAAAGAGAAAAAGGTGTATTGTGATTGATACTTTCTAGTATAAATATATCATATCACGGCATCCTACTGATCAGCGTAATCTTCACCAAATATTTGACGGAATTTCTCCTTGAAAACAATCAAAGTTGACATAATGATTGTAATGACAAACAACCAGAAAAACAAACGGTCCATCACCAAGGCAACGTGCTTCCATTTCTGATCCCCTTTTTCTATTGCTCTCTTCGTAGATCTCCTTCTTGCCATAATACTAGCGTCTCTCAAATATCTATCATGCGTCCGGCTGTTTGTACATCTGTTTTTCATAAAAGACGCGAGAGGTAAGCTTTCACTCTCCGCACTATGAGTGGCGCATCTAAGGACAGCGGGCTTTTCTTTATGCGCATGCCCGTTCGTCACCCGATGGGCGTGCCCGTTCATGACTGGACTCACTTTGTCCATAATATCATGCGTTAAGGTATGGTTCGAGTTTTCAACGTCTATCATATCGTTCTGAGATTCCAAATAAGGCGGAAGCCTCCGTACACATAAGACAGCTGCTAGCCAATGGAGAACCACTACCTCGATCCATGCCGGCATGCGCACACTCGCAACTGTCCCTAGATTCCTATGATGTGTATTGAGGACACAGCAAGTAGCAAATAACGAGACCGCAACCTCACTCATAATCATGAGATAGAATCTTCCCAGTAGGGGCGTGTTCCTTGCACTTCGTGGCAAAGCCTCGGCCATGAGCTGAATGAATACACACATCGCAAGAAGAACAGTGATGTTCAACGTGATACGTTCTTTAGATTCTGGTGGAAGACAAAACCCGTACAGAATCACGCTCAATATGATCATACACGGCGTAATCAAGTTGAATGCGTAGAATAAAGGCTTGCGTCGGATAATCATTTCAATGTTAATGTAAGCCAAAGGCTCCTTGCAGCACGCGTGTGTTTGTGTTCGCCTGATTTTCCAAGCAGCAATAAGTTCCCACTCGGAACTCTTCGTGAACTTGTCGGTAAACATCGGAGAATTAGCGGTGATCAAATCGACCTCGGTAGCCGTGAACGTGGACGAACCAAACTGCATTGAGCAATTCTGCTGATCGAAAGGGAAGTAGGTGATATCTAGTTCGCAAGTAGTGATGTAGATGGCAGGACTGTACCAAGCTGATGAACCATCACTGCCTACAATGACACGTGTTTTGAACTTTTCTACTCCACTGTTTGATTCGCTGTCGGCACTGAAAACACACAAAATACTAGTTTGAGAAACACAGAAATCACTAGTAATACACATCTTACACGTCTTTATTTCTCTTTCTTATCACTTTCATCAGCTTTAATTTAATTTCCCTCTTTCAATCTTTATGCCGTTTTTTATTTTTTTTCATTTTTCTTCACACAACATAGCAGCGGAGCGGTTTGAAAAGTACTTAGGGTTGGCTGATCAGGATGTGCTGGGTTCCACCTTATCCTCTGTGAACAGTGTATGATGTCCAGTCAAAAGACCCAAAATAGACATGTTAGTTATTCCCTTAAATTTCCAGTCAAAATAAGGACCCAAGATAGACCTTTCATTGGTTATTCTCCTTAAGTATGCTACAAGCGCACCCCGGGCAACCACAGCTCCGCCGCTTATTCCTTTGACGAGTCAAACTTACAGAGTGGACACTAAATAAGACCACTTTTACATATCTAAGCAATCACGGTGTTGAGTAAAACCATATTGACTTTACCCCGGGTTCCAGAAACTCACCGCTACAGTGCTCTTTGATATCCCACGACCGTGCGACCGTGAGGCATGCACTGAAGCGATATAGTCTCTGGAACCGTTGGAATTTGTTTTTTTCTTCCGTCAGTGAAAAATATAAAAAGCATTGACTGGAAGTATTGACCAAATTTCAGCGTGCTGCATGAAACTGCATGCTATTGAAGGTTTTCACGTCGGCCATGTTGGAGGAACTTAACAAAGGAATTGTCAATGAATTCTTTTGTTATATCATCCAACATGGCCGCCGTGTCTTTTGTTATTTAATTCTCTTGGGAATGGTTGAAAACCATCAATAAACTGGTCCCAGTTTGAGGGCCCACACTGTGAAACTAGTAGTATGTCTTTTTTCTTAATTATTTTCTTACCTATTATAAAGTACTATATCAGGGGTCCATACTGTTTGAGGATCCAGTCTGGTTTCATTTACGCCTTCATATTGAATTGAATTCCAAACCATAAGTTCATTCTTCCAACGCTGGAAAAAAACAAAATAAAGCCAAAAATCATTGTCAAAGTTGAAAAAGTTCAGTTTTCCCAAAGTAGAATCTTATTGGCCAATTTTTTAAACGAGCAAGGGACTGGTTCTAGTTTAAAAATAACTAATTTGATTAGAGCAATGGAGAAAATGCCTCAATCTAGCGATTTAGCCATACGTCCAAGCCGAAACGGACTATTATGATGATTAAAAGGCTTCCTATTTTATACTGACCTGTCGTATCCATACATTAGTTTTGAGCACCTGATTACGGTTGTCCTGCCAGGATAATAACACAATCAACAKTAACGATAGAAATGGTTAACAATAGACCCTTTTCGAATTCCAAATTACCGCTGTGTTTCTTGATTACAGACTCATTTGCACAGGGTTAGCCTCGACTTTGTGTAGAATATTCACCTGTTCCAGTCAAGGTCCGTCGAGTTTCAAAGTGTTTGTATTGTTGAAGTTGTGCATTCTTTACTTTACCGTTGGTATTTGTGAATATTTAAACACTGATACGAGGCTAACCCTGTGCAAATGAGTCTGCAATCAAGGAACACAGCGGTAATTTGGAATTCGAAACTGATCTATTATGGTCATGTGTTGAATATTAACTCTGGTTGAATCTAATCACGTCAAAAAGCCCGCATAAATATCAAGTATTGTCTTTAATGCAAACGGTACATGAAGAAGAGGAACGGTTAACAGTTGACACTCGATTCTGGTTTTAAATTATATTGAACGTTTTTAATTTAAACTCTATTCAAATCGATTAATATCCAGCTGCATGCGGAAGTGCTTGAATCGCGAATCCTATTCCAAACATGTCCATGTAACAGAATATATCGAGCTTTCTTTTAGTTACAACGATCTATCGAAAATTGCTGCTTCTTCGCGGCGACTTACTGCAATTTTTTTACTCGAAAATGCATTTAAGCATATTCTATGAGATGTGCGGATAAGATTATCAACTAGAATGAAATTTCTCACTGCATGTGTCCAGTCGCGCTAATTCTTTACAACATCCAAGCGCGACAATTGTCTGAAAATAAGCTCAAATTATCTAGGAGGGAGTCTTTTACCTGTATAAACGTCCTTAACGAGAGATATATCTGAGTTATGCTGAGATACTAAGTCAACAAAAAAATCTATGCATAAAAAGACATACTTACCACGGAAATGATCTGAACAATTTCTAGGCCGAAAATCACCCTGGTAGTCGTGTTTTGGCTACGCACGGGCCTTACGTTAACATTGTGACTTAGCAGACCTTCAACGAGGGATTGTTCAGCACTTGGAATGCTTGCATCTATAATATAAAAAGCAGTGTAAAGGAGAAAGGCACAACCAGGTCGCGTGACCGTGTCACGACCTACGGAACTTATGTATATATATATATATATTTATTTATTTATTTATTTAGTCAATGAAACCGACTGCGTAGAGCAAGTGACAGATGAGAAATTTAAAGTCAACCAGTAACGAAAGCTACTTATGTTTTTTGATTTCTTTGATATCATTAACCATGCACTAGATTCTATCACACAACAAGTTAAAGTTAGTTACCTAATCAATTATACATTATTTATTAATATTACTTTTGGTCTTGCTGTGTTGCTAAAATATTAATACAACATGGTCGGGAAAACATAACGTGATCAACTAGGAATTTTTTCCAATGGTCTATTGAAGCCGCTTAGCACTCTCTAGAGTGTTATCAATGGAAGTCAAGATAAGCTGATCAGAGTAGGCATTTATAATAATTATTTTATTAAAATTTACTTTAAATCAAAATCAAAAATGGAAGTAGACAAAACAACACTATTTATAACTATAAGTGCTGATTTCAAGGGCCGAACATCATTGTCCGACATAAGAACATCCGTCTCTTTAAATCTCTTAAAACGATAAGCTTTAAAACCAAAGCTCAATTAGACTTGAAACATCTATAATTGACATAAGAAAATCGGATAAATGATTGGCTGAGTGTCTTTGTCTCATTTCAGCATTTCTTGTTTCGAGAGTATGATGATGCTATATAGAATGTTGGCGCCATACTTGCCGAGTCTCGTTCTTAGTCATAGGAATATAACACTTAGCATTTTTAGCCCATTTCATTCAGCACCCTTTATTTCAACAGACCCACTACTTCAGATGGAGTCTCGCTCTCTTCAACAATACAAAATATTGCTGATTTGTAATCATTCCCAAGAGAATGATAACGAAAGACGGCGGCCATTTTGGATGATATAACAGAGGAGACTAATGATGAATCCTTTATTGAATTCATCCAACATGGCTGCTGTGAAAACCATCAATATGAACAATACTCTTGACTTAGGTAACGTTCAAAACTTTCGGGCGAAAAGATTGTATAACATTTTAAGTAAAATGGTCTGTGACAACTTATTTTAGAGGTAAAGCTGGCACAGTCAGCTCAAGCTAAAGATTACAAATATTACATGGAGAAGGGTGGGGAGGGTGGGTAGAGGGGGTGAGGGGAAGGAAGACCAAAAAGAAAAGTTTTAAAGTGTCTATGGCTATCATTATAGCCTAAAAAACGAAGTCTATCGCGTGTAACCATTTTATCTCCCTCCCTCCCTCCCTCCCTCCTTCCCTCTTTCTCTCTCTCTCTCTCTCTCTTTTTTTTTACATTTACTGGATGGAATAGAGTTATAATATAAACATAATTATGCATTGGTTAAATCTTTGAAGTAGGGGCACAAAGTCGAACCAGGGAGGGGTGCGCACCCC